CTGGGCAGAGGGCACGACCCGGTGGAGATCCTGCCCGCGGAGGACGGGAGCGGAGTCGGCGCGGCGCTCATCGCGGCCTTGACGCTGAAGCGCGTGCAGGAGGGCAAGGTGATGGGCATCCGGGATCCGGAGGGCATGTTGCGGGGGACCAAGGCGGATGATGCGAAGAGTAAGCAGGTCGCTCCTGAGGGGAAGTGAGAGCGCAGAGAATTGGGGACCGGGGCAGAGGACACCAGAGCGCGCCCTGCTGGCGGCGTTGGATGCACGGCAGAGGCGTAGAGCCTAAGATGAGCCGAGTGTAGATACCCTAGAACACCACGGGGCGCACGCTAGGGATAGAAAGAGGCCTGTGAGTACACGTACGACCTACACCACTTCTATCCTTCCCCGCTACCACTGGCCCCTCATCCACTCTTCGGCGATCCGCTCGTTCTCAAGCATGAAGGATGGGTCCCGACCAGCGCGGCCGATCCCATACATATCATCTCCATCACCAGACACGCCACGGCTGTAGAGACTGCTCGCGTTGTCCGCCATTACGGCATCATGATTCAGTAGCCCACCGTCCTGTCGCGCGACACTCGGGAAGTGATCCACCCACGCCCCGTCAGTCGTGTCCTCGACCAGATCATCCCTATACGTACTCCGCAACACCATCAGCCGCCCCAGTCTCGGTGCACAAGTCCCCGTTGCCCGGATTGTGTGACGCGGGAACGTGATGTTGCCCACCCACAACTCCTCCAATGCCTCCCAGACCAGCGGCTCCCGTTGCCCCGCGAGCCCCTCTTCCAAATGGAGAGTCAATGGGCTGGGGCCGAGTGTGTGCTGCCAGTGCCAGCGGAGGATGCGCAGCGTCAGGGTGAAGGAGCGGAGGTAGGAGTACAGGAGTTTCCGGAGCATGAGGAGCTGGACTTGTGTCAGGGCTTTGGCGGTGAAGGGGTCGGCGAGCTGGAGGTCGAGGGTGTGGAGGCGCGGCCAGATGGGCTGGGTGCGTGGCTGTTGGGGTAGTAAGGGAGTGGGCCGGCCGAAAGCTCCGAGGCCTGTCCAGCCGAGGTGGATGATGCCCATGGCGTGGAGGGGGTGGAAGCGGATCTCGGTCAGGTGGCTTATGGGCGAGTGCTCGAGGGCGCGGCGGATGGTGACGAGGGTGTCTTCTACGATCGTGCGGCCGGGCCAGTCGGGATCCCCGTAGACGCGGACGGTGAGGCGGCGCAGGTCGGGGCATTGCGCGAAGATGGAGGCCCATTTCTTGTCTGCTAATGTCTGTGTGCTTTGTGCTGCCCTCGTCAGTTGGCCGAAGGGGAGGGACGTGTGTGCCGTAGGCATCAGCGTGTCGTGGCGTCCCGCCCACAATGGCCTTGAGTAGATCCGCTGATCTGCAATTGGGGGCTGGAGGGTGCGTGGACTGGGTCGCCTGGTGTAGTAGGAGTCTATGCTGACACTTGAGCTTAGAGATGCATGCTGGGATATCTTGATCGTGAGGTCATGGCAGAAGTTGGCCACTCTCTCAAACTCTCGGTTCGGTAAACCCTCCTCAAGCGGCGCGAGCACGAACAGCTTGCGGTACATCCGACCTGATTGAGAGTCCACCATATCTCGCATGATCGGCGAGACTGCACGCAGACTGCGGAGGCTGGAGTCGTCGAGTCTGCGGAGGAATGCCTGCCGGAAGGACGCATCTCTCGCACTGCCGGGCTTGAGAAGTGCGTACTCCAGTGGCGAGCGCTTCGGCGAGCGAGGCGGACGTTCCGGTCTGCCCATGCTGTCGATATAGGTGCCTTCTCAGTGGTACACGGTGCAGGGACGGCAAGACGCGCGCCCTTCGAGGTCGCGACATACTGGCTACAGTCGCTCGGATGCCCAGTGACTGCGATCAGCGCGTGGCCAAGTCAGCGGAGAAGGTGCGCTCGTAAGCGGTGTCGCTCCTGTGCCATGCGTCAGAGCAAACAAGATGCCGGGTGCAGAACTGTAGTTCAGCGCACGTGTAGTCCTTCTGCGGGCCCTGGACTTTGTACTTCACCCCGAAGACGTCCATGGTCTGGTCCTCCTCCATGACTCTGGGCAGGCGGAACTCGTAGTATCTGTTCAGTGGCTCAGTCGGAGCAAGAGCAGTGCGGACAGCTACACCTACGCCCAGTCTAAGACGATTGCGTATCAGCCATCCAGCACTTCGAGGCACTGGCACGATGGCGTCCCACTCACACATGTCAAGCTCGCAAAGATGGTCTCCCTTGCCTGTCCAGCCCAGGCGCTGGTGCTCGGTCTCCAGATTATGGAAGAGGTAGTCGACCTCTTCCTTGCCGTCGAGCTGCTTGCTGCTCTCAGTGACAAACCACGCACTGATCCGGTCCTCGTCGGCGTCGTAGCGATAGACGTATTCTACCTCGCAGGTCAGCCTGGCTCGGGGGTATGCTGGTCACTGTTCATACTCCGATGGGCTTTCAGGGTGAAGCCATTGTCGGTCCGCAACTCGCCTTGTTCGGTGTACAGAAGCTCGCCCGCGGCGTTGTTGGCTGATGGCTTCCGGGATCGGAAAGTGGCCACTCCCTCGAAGATGCCGGAGGGGAAGTGAGGCAACTGGCTCTTCAACGATCTCCTCAGCCGCCACGAGCCTCGCAGGCTGTCGAAGATGACCGCTGTCGGGGTCTTTGCAGCCATCCTCTGCGCCCCAATTTGGCGAATCAAAGTTCGATGTTGATTAACCAATTTGGAGTGTAAGGGAGGGTTGGAAAGGCACATGTACATTGTACACATCTACCGACTCGGCCGGCTCGGATCCGAGTCCACCCATGGCGAACGCCATTAATAGTTCCAGCGTGTTAGCGTCATTATTGCCTGCGTCGATGATTGCGGCAGAAGATGCTCGGACGGCAGTGCTGCCGGCCGGATGACAAGCGGCCAAGTGTATGTAATGGACGGAGGCTCTCGCCTACTCGGAAGCGTATCTCGACGTCTTACGGTCTATCCTAGAACATACGCAGTCGCAAAACACCCGTGATGGCAGCTCCCGGCGGCACATTTTGGTAGATCCACGCCCCCCCCGCACACCACGCGAAGGCTGTTACTAATCCGTTGTCATCTGCAGTGAGTGAGGTGGTGCCCTTGCGTCCTGTTGATGCTCAAACCCTCAGGCTGATGGGCCGGAAGTCATCCAAGATCGCTTGACGACCAAAGCAGCCCATCATGAAGGCTTCCAACAGTGAGTACGGTGGCCTGTTCGTCGGACGATGATCCTGACATGCCCCAAGGTTATGGGAGACGAAATGGAAGAAGCCCGTGAGTGTGCTCCTGGAGATGTCAGAAAAGGGCTGCGCTCAGTGATAGCAGTGCGAGATGGGCGTGTACCCATTCATGTTCGGCAAGTACGCCGATTTTTTACCGATCGTCGACGAATTGATCAAGGTATGGTTGCAAAACGCTGGCGATCTGTCCAGCCGTACTAATTGGTGCGCCGGTAGCGGGACTTCAAGGAGCCTTATGATTGGGACGCGTATGCTCAGGTCTACTGTAAGTTCTCGGCCACATCGGCTTCGAATCTCCTTTGACATGGTCAGTCCCGAAAGCCGAAGAGCTGGTTGCAGAAGCCGAGAAGGCCGAGCAGGAGCATGACTGCGAGAAAGCCTCGGAGTTCTACATGTAAGATGGCAGAGTGTGCTGTGACGCAGACGATGCTGACTCCGATAGGCGTGCTTCTGCGGTCTACCGGATCTCAAGATTCCCAGCACCTCGTTCCGGAAAGCAACGGTATGCTTGGGAAGAGGGCAAGAAGGCCGCAGCCAAAGGATTGGCGCTCCGTGAACGACCGACGAAGGAGGTAGTCATTGCGCACAAGCATGGTCTAGAGCACGAGGGCAAAGAGATTCCATTCTACTACCATCTCCCACCCGGCACGAGCAAGGACACGCCGATCCCGCTGGTTGTGATCCTTACCGGGCTTGACGGCTACCGGACAGAGCTCGCGGTCTGGATCGAAGGCTGGTCGCAGAAGGGTGTTGGGGTCATTGTGCTCGAGATTCCGGGTACAGGCGACTCTCCTGCGGATCCCAAGGACATCACCTCGCCGGAGCGGGAGTGGTCAAGCCTCTTCGATTGGGTTGACGAGCAGCCTGAGATTGACCACAAGAAGGTCGCGCTTTGGGCTTACAGCACCGGCGGATACTACGCCATCCGCTTAGCGCACACCCACCATGACCGTCTCGCGGGCGTAGTGGCGCTCGGCGGTGGGTGTCATTGGATGTTCGACCCTCGATGGCTCGACGCGGTTAACAACCTCGAATATCCATTCGACCTCGCCAACACGTTGGCTTATAAATGGGGATACGGCGACGATCTCGAGGCCTTCAAGAAGGAGGGCATGAAGTTCTCACTAGTCGAGGACGGCACCCTGGACGGGAAACAATGCACCCGGCTCCTCCTCGTCAACGGCGTGGATGACGAGATCTTTCCCATCGACGACTACTACGAGTGTCTGCTGCGAGGGGCCCCGAAGGAGGCCCGCTTTATCAAGGGCCGGAAGCACATGGGCGAGCCGGACAGCTTCGTGATCATTCTCACTTGGCTGTACAAGTTGTTCGGGATCGAGGGGAATCCCATCGACCAGCTCAAGACGATCCCGTCGAGGCCGAAGTACTGAACGGGTCTTGGTGGGTACGAGAGTACGAAGGACGGAATCTGCATATCGGGGAACTTTTAGTAGTAATGCTTGTGTTGGAGCGTCTCGGCGCCCTACGCGTGCTGTGATTGCAGTGGCGAGGACACTCGAGGGTGGAGAGGAATTGAAGTACATGGAGGACGTATACCCACATGCTGCTAACACAGCGTACATGGAGCAAGCAAAGATCCGGCGCGCCAATAGCTCGAAGCACAAGCCGGCCTTGGGTAGCAATTGACGCAAGCAGCGTCCGCGTGGAGAGCTGATAAACATTGTTAGTAGATAAGTGATATTGACTCTAACTAGTGCAGATTGCGCTGTGCAAACGCGACGAGCTTTCTTCTTCCTCGGGCTTGTGGTTTAGTGGTATAATTCCTCTTTAGCACTGCTATCCCCGCGGATGGAAGGACTAGAGGCGGTCCCTGGTTCGATTCCTGGCAGGTCCACCATTATTTTGCTCGATCCAACGAGGGACTTCTTTTTGGGAGACAGACCGCAGGCGATCGTAAAGTGTTAAAGGTTTATGGAGTTTGGCAAGGTATTGGGCCGCAGTATGCGAAGGTATTGTAAGCTCCTTCACTGGCGACGTCAATCGGCGTTGCAAAGGACAATTCTAGACAATTAATGTACGCACATAGCATGCCTACATGTATCGAGAGCGACGACGCTGCACGAACGGTCGGCTATCTGCTATACAGTGGCGTGTTGACTTTAACCATCCGCTCGCCTGGACACGATCTCGCGCATCACGGGCAGTTTCACCCGCATGAACCGACGTTGGTCAGGCCTGACACCGTCAATAGCCCAAGAGCTGAAGCCCCGAAGATGTATGAGGAAGTCGAACTCGTTCTACAGAGGGCCGAGGGGTTGCGTCTGCTCAGTGACTGCCACACTGCATCCAGCCCTGTGTCAAGGCTCGCAGAACGTGTTGTTACCTCACCTCGCGGCTGGTCTGAGCGCACTCCAGAGCCATTGCCTTCGATAATGGACGTGGTCAAACGTTGGGGCAGCACAAAGCAAATATCGGGATCGGCTGCTTCATACCCGTGTTCCGTGTGCTAGAACGTGGATTCTAGAGGCGTGTCCGAGACTCGACCAGAGGCAGTCCTAAACCTCGGTGTCGTGAACCGCGCCGACATGGATTGACCGGCTCGCGAGCATGGTCTCCAGGACCGCTTCGTGAAGACGGACGTCCTGCCGCGGAAGGGGGGGTTGCGTTGGCGGGACAAGTGCTCGTGAATCTTCCAGGTTCATATTGGCGCCTTCCTTCATTCTTGAGCCTGCCCGTGGTATTTGATGCGTGCCAGGTCGAATCCGCCTCCACCCTTGGCGCCAACGCAGGAGATGTGATCACTATTGTCTCCGACCGCGATTGCTGGAGAGTCGACCATGTTCAAGTCGCATGAACGCCCGAGCTGAGTCGAGTCCGCTAGGATGAAAGGAGAAGGATCGGCCAGCCACCTCCCGACTGCACCACTAGCGTTCATCGCCCCGGGGAGCACAGCGGCGGCGGTGGAGGTGGGACAACTCATCGTGCATGACTCCAGTCGGTCTTCCCGTATCACCCTCCATCCACCGGTAGAGTCCGCTCGCTCTCCCGTGCATGTGGTGGTATTGTGTAGCCGTATGCGACTTGGTACCGACGACATCTAGACGACGATGCGAACGAACGCGACCACCATATATACATAGCTGGACGACGAGATGCCCAAACGAGTGTGCGCATTGTAGATCGCGCAACCATCATCGCCTGAATCAACTACGCAGAACAATAGCCCAAGCCACTTCATATTGCGCAAGATGTGGAAAGCCTTCAGTGGCCGCAGCGAGAGCGGCAGCATCTCCGGGCTCCGGCGCAAGAAGAGCAGCAGTGGTCGCGCAGGCGCCAGCGACGCGGGAGCGTCGTCCACTGCCCGCCGCGACGATGAGGGCAAGCGTGGGCACCGGAGCAGCAGGAGCGCATACGGCGACGACGATACGAAGAGCTCTACCTCAACCTATGCGACTGCGCCGAGCTCGCGAGTTGGTAGCGGTGGCGGGAGAGCGCTGACGGAGAGCGCTGTGCGTGGATTGGGGGGCGGAGACGACGATTGGGAGGACGACGATCGGGCCAAGAGCGAGAAGCGAAGCAGGCACGGCGAGGGAAGTGAACGACGGCACACGCACAGCCGGAGCGAGAAGGAACGAAGTGAGTCGCGCGAGAGGAAGGAGCGACGGAGGGAGAGCGCGAGTCATACGGGCGGCGGCCGAAGCGAGCGATCTCAGGGCAAGCGGCGGACGGACGACTCCCTCGACGCGACGTGCGGGGAGAGAGCCATACCGGCCATGGGCAGCTTCGAGCAGTTCCCGGATCAGTACTCGGCCGCGCTTGTCGGACCGGTGCAGCCCCACGGACCCACCATGTCTGGCGCGCTGCCAACATCAGATCCGATGCATCAGTTCCCGTCTCAGATCCCGCGCACATTCGATCGACCCCAGATGGGGCCGACGCGCGCGGATAGCTTCGGCGCAGCAGCGGACTACTACATGGACGAAGGGCAATCGATCCACACCCAGCCTGGCCATCGTGCCTCGACGCCCAACATGTTGGTGAATCCGGATCTGCACCTCCACGCGGCTTCCGCCACGCCCAACCCTGCGGCCGACACGGGACATGGGTCGGCTGCCGATTTCTACGGGCACACAGCCAGCGCAAGTCAGGCTCCAATACCTGCCAAGCCTCCACCGAGCACACAGCGTCCCGCATCAGGACGACAGCCGTCAGGCAGTTCAAACCGGCCGTCAAATGTGGGCGCGGTGGCATCTACAGCTGCTGCGATCGCGGCGACCGCCGGAGTCGTTGGAGCTTCGAGCGGCTCGTATCATGAAAGCGAACAGCGAACGTCATCGTATCAACAAAGCTCAAGCTCACGGCCTCAAGCTCAATCCCGCCAGCGGAGTCCCAGACCTTCGGCCGACACGAACGGTGCAGCAGGATCTTATTACGCGCCAGCGCCGCAGCAGGTCCCTCTGTCGCAGTCGAACCCAGGTAAGCAGTCGTCGCACACTAATGCTAACGTGCCACTCTATGCAGCAGGTGCCGCGGCTGCCGGAGCTGCGGCTTACGGCGTGAGCCAGCACCATCAACATCAACAGTCATCATCTCACATGCACAGCACGTCTTACGGCGGCGGTGGAGGAGGTGGCCAAGGTCCCTCGAAGCCACAGTTCGCGCCTGGCGAAGGATCTTACGGGAACGGAGTCAAGGGTATGCACTACCACGAGCATCGAGGCCCGATCACACGCCTCAAGGATGGCTTCCTCAACATCCTTTCGAGCCCGGAAGACGTACGCAGGATGGAGGAGTACACCGAGTACATTGGAGTATGTAAGTACTGCTTCGACCCAAGAAGCACGCCAAACGACGGCCCACGACAGCACCACTTCCATCGCAGACCATCGGAGGACTCGTTTGAGGAGCTCCGCCGACGAAAGTCCTACGAGCGCATGCAGAGGAAAGGCAGCAATGAGACGCTGCGCCGGCGCGTCGACAAGGAGAGCCGGTACTACTCGTCCGATCGCGACAAGCGAGGGCACGTCAACAAGAGCGGTGTAGTTGCTGCCGGACTGGCGGCTGCGGGTGTAGCTGCTGGTGCCAATGCGCTATTCAACGATCGAAAGGACTTCGATGATACGTATAGTGTCAAGTCTGGACACCGCGCCGGTTCGGCAGCGAGGAGACGCAGCCGCAGCTCTTCGCACGAGCGGCGGAGACGGTCAGAGCATGGCGTCATCCGTGCAGATCACGGGGACGAGTATGTCACTGTTCGCACGAGTGATGGCCGGGTCGAGAGACGACGAGTGCAACACTCCGAAGCGTCTCAGTCTCACGAACATCACAACGGCTTGGCTGGAGCGGCCGCTGGTGCCGCTATAGGGGCGGCCGCCGCTTCTTTCGTGGCGCGCGACTCCCGAAACCCTCAAGGAGCTCATACCGAGGGCGCCTTCGTGCGCCATCACTCGCGCAGTCGTTCACGCAGCCACAGTCCGGGCCTTGGTGAAATATTTGGCTTCTCTGGCGGCAAAGCCAGTAACAGCACTCGCCGGCCGACGAACGGGGCGTCTCATGGCGCTCCGCGTCACGAGCGCCGAAGCTCGAGGGAGGAGAGCAGCATGCTGGGCTCATTCTTCTCTCCTTCGCAGAACGAACGCAGGCCCCGACGCAACAGCCGCGAGCACCGGAAGAAGCAGAGAGGCTTCTTCGGCCTTGGCAGTGGCTCGGCCTCGTCCTCCGACGACGGCATGGCGTTTGGTGAGGGCTCCGCGAGTAAGACCACTTTGCCACTCGGGCGTAAGAGCTCATCAAGGGTTGTGCGGAAGAAATCGGACGACCACTTCGCTGCGACTGTCGCAGGCATTGGCGTGACCGCCGCTGCATTGGCTGCCGCCCAGAAAGGACAACGAGTTAGCAAACGCACGAGCCGGCCGGAATTGGGCGTGCACCGGAATGCTCGAGTCCAGCACGATGATCACCGCGTTCACGGCCAAGCAGAAGATGATGAGTGGGAAGATGAGCTACCATCTGACGCGGACGACGCGTCGAGCACTCATTCTGCCCTCGCATTCGGCGAAGGGTCGCGCCTGTCACATCGTCAGAGTATGGAGAGCGTCTCCTCTGGCGATGGCCTGAGCGCGTGGGGCTGGAGGTGGGGTGGTAAGGATCGGAAGCAGCGGCGTAGGCCTTCTTCGCCAAGTCCGCCGCATCCACCAGGATACAGCGCTTCTGGCATCGATCCAGTGATCGCTGTCTCAGCCGCGAATGACTTCTCGCACGAAATCTCGACCCGGCCTAATGAACTCGATAGCGCGTTCACGTCCAGCACTGGTCTGCCTCAGCAGCCTATGCAGTACGTTGACCCGCTGCCTATGTCTGACGCGGGCTCACGACACGGCTCTATGCCTGGCACCTTCGAACCATCCATGGCGAGGCCCGGACCGGCTCCTCTCCAGCAACCTCAGCCGATTGCACCGATCTCGCCCGCCTTCGTGCAGGACGCGTTCCTGGACGAAAGACCAAAGCCCAGACGTACTGCGTCGAGCCCCACAAGGAGCAGCTTCGGCCTGCAGGACGCGGCCCTCATAGGCGTCGGTGCGCTTGCAGCGGGCAGCATCATTGCTGGCCAAGGTCGCAAGAGCAAAGACACGTCTAACGTGCGATTTGGCCTGACGGACGAACAGCAGCAGAGGGAGGACCGCCAGCGCCGTCGCGAGAGGGAAGGCATCGAGGAGGAAAGGCGACGAGCCGACCGCACTCGGGCGCTCAAGGAGGAAGCTGAGCGGCATGCCAAGGAGGAAGATGCCCACAAGCGCGAAGAGGCGGTCCGCCGAAGAAGGGAAGAGGAGAACAGGCTCGCTGCCGAAGCTGTGCTTGCGAAACAACGTGCTGCTCAACAGGAGGCCGAGCAAC